ACCAAAATTAAATATAAATTAAGAAGAGAAAAAAATCGTTTCAATTTTGATAAGACAGCCCAAAAATTAAATGCCAAAAATTTGCAACAAAAAAAAACTACAATTCTAAACAGACACCCATTACATACTTCGCAATACGTACTTTCCTTTGGCTTTATTTTGCACTCATAAATGTTGGCATTTGTCCAGACTTTGGCGTAATTTCGTACAAATGTGTGTGAGTTGTTGGTTGCTTGACGGTAATAAGCCGCATACAAATTTATATGTAAACAAACAAATTTTTTTTTTAATCTTCTTACTTTATTTTTGCATTAGTCATAGTTGAAAAATTTAGCCAAATTTAGCTTAAAACATTTAATGTAGTTTATACTGTGCGGTTAATAATGACGTTGGTGGTGATGATGAAGAATATAAATCTGCCTAATCGCGCTTGGCGTTGTGCGCACTCGGGTGCCCGGGTAATATACAAATGTCAGTGCTGGTTAAAGGAAAACACTTTTGATCATTCAGTACTACACTGAAAAAATATGCTCTGACACTAGAAGAAAATCTGTATAGTAGCAATAAGTTGTTTTGCTTCTGCCTTTGTTATAGCATTTACCACGACCAAAAGTACCGTAGTAGCTTTCATTATTCAGTTCACGATTTTCAAAGCCAACTGCATATTTTTAAAGCGGACTTACGGTCAATTTTATATAACGAATTAATTTTTTTATTTGTATATAACGATATTTTAATTTCCCAATACTATAGACACGACTACCATTTAATCCTTTTTCTCCCTTGTCTAGCAATTAATTTATTTTATACATATCAAAGCGTTTTTCGTTTGAATCCAGAACAGTTACTCGATTAGGAACTATATCAGATGCGCGCCACGTCTTCCTGAAAATGAAATCAATTACGAGAATGTCTTCATTTTTCCTGGGTCAGGACGAGTTATTTTTTACGGGCTTTGAAGTTTTGAGGTCATGTGTTATATGTGATATATAAATAGTGCCTATAACATCCGTAAACGCAGGTAATTTCTCCTTAAAAAAAATTCTTTTTGTAAAAATAATGCATTTTGTACAAATTAAGTTTTTCGGTATTGTGCCGTTTGCTGTTTGCGGATTTACGTACATAAGGGCGGTTGAAAAATGCACGTAGAATCAGTAAAGTCCGAGTTTCGAGGGATTGTTCTATAACGGAAAAATATACCCCTGTTTTTTTATTTCGAAATCAAAAAATATTTAGACGCCCTTCAAGCGTTAAAAGATTTTTATGTATTTTATATTGATTTTGAAGAATTCTATACCATTTCTAAGAAAAAAGGGCTTTTCCCATATAAAATACATGGAAAAATTTTAGCGCTTTGAGCGACCTATAATTTTTTTTTGATTTCAAAATAAAAAAACAAGGGTGTATTTTTTTCGGTAAGAATTCCGGCTTTACTTTTTTACTCACATCAGTATCAGTATTCTTTATTTATGTTTTTTTTTTCACAATATTCGATATATTTTACATTATAAACTTGTTCGTAAATTTAAATATAAAGCTCTTGTACGGCGCACGGATTGCACGGTAAAACCTTATTTTCCTATGGGAAGCTTTGCAAACCTTGCAACCCCTTGAACTGTGCAAGGGCTTAGCAAGTTTTCGAAAATACCCCTATGGTTTTTGTAGTAGAATGAGCTCTGTACATTATAAATATTAATTAACGATCCCCGTATCGAATGCCATGCATTATTCACTTAAGTGTCTTGTTCAGCCATGTTAAGTCTTCAATGACTTTGGGCTCCGTTTATATGGAAGTCGTTCATGACACCTTCATACAAATGGTAATTTAGTCGTTGATGGCCTCTGCATGACTTCAGATTTTTTAGAATTTTTTTGAGTATGCAGTTTTGCAGCCCATTAAATTCTAGTAAAAAAATCCAAGTTCGGATTTAGCCGAAAATCGCGTTGATTTTTGAGATTTTTTTTTTGTTGAAGGTGTTTTGCATTTTTCCAATATAAAGTATTTTCAAAAAAAAAGAAATTTTATGGAAAAGACTGCGTAAAAAAAAATTGCCAAAAAATCAATGGTAATTCCTAGCTACTTAAAACTTGCACTTGGGCTACAAATCTGCATACTCAAAAAAATTCAAAAAAATCTGATTATAAAGTTGAAAATTATCATGAAAATTTTTAGAATTTTCGTGAGTTTTGCACAAAGTTTAGGAATTATATCGAGCCCTAACCGCCAAAATAACGTAAGCGACATTTTTTTCAAAATTTTATTTTTGATGCAGAAATATTCCTAGAGCATCAGATGCATTTCTGCATCAAAAAGAAAATTTTGAAAAAAATGTCGCTTACGTTATTTTGGCGGTTAGGGCTCGATATTTTAATTTTTTTGTTGTAGGATGAACCATATTTTTATACGAAATTGGCGGAAAAATATTAGAATGAAAATTGTGGCATATATTGTGAAAAATTTGCTGTGCCAATACTTTGTTGCGGCGTGTATGTATTTCTACATTGCACTATGGCTGAAATAAGCACTTTCTGTGACTAAAAGTCCAATTTTCAATTTTTCTTTCAAAATATTTAACAGGCGAACTTTATTCTAGATACTCTAATTATTGTTTGGAATCCCCGCTACCAAGTTCTTTCAGATAGGATTGAATCAATTCAAAAACAATTCTTGCTTTTTGCATTGCGTGATTTTAACTGGTATTCAGACTACAATCTCCCCCCTTACAGTAGTCGTCTAAAGCTCATTGAATAACTGAGTGAGAGGGGAGACCAGTATGTGTGCATGTATGTATTTATAAAAAGAAAATATGTATTGGTTCAAAAATGGTGGGTAGGCACTGTGGCCAATGGTAAAGTTCGTTTACCACCTCTGCACGGTTGTAAGCCATGCAGAGTCCGCAAAATGCTCCGGAAGCAGTGTCCGGAGGATGCATCAGACTAGGCCGAGCATTTTTTGCACATGCACATGTCATGACACTTTCGACCACTATTTTTGAAGCCATGCAAAACTAATTTTGAACTTAACGAATCATTCCGCGGTCAAGACTTTAACTCTCATTCCAGCACGTTTGACATATGGGACTCGATTTTTGCTATAAATAGAACTTTCATTTCCACTCTCAATAATTGAGATACTATCTTTAGCATATCCAATCAGCTGATGAATTTGATTCGGTAGCTGAATAGTTTTAGATCTCGACACTTAACAAACTCCTGTTTCCACGACTTGGCACCAAAAAACAAAAAAAAAAACAAAAAGGTTACTGTAAGTCATGCGGACTGCGCCCCTCGTGTCCGTTGGGTGGTAATGGAGGGTAAACCCCGTTGTGATCAATTAATTAAATTAATGAATTAATTATAAATTTACGACCGTAAGATAAACCTGGTCCCCTATCTGTTAACCTAAATATTGTGTGTTTTTTTACTTTGGGCTAGAATTTTATTATACTGAACAGCAGTGCAACGTGGATGTATTTTACGTGCCTATGACTATAAAAAGTTTGAAGTGTATTTATTTTAGCAATGGGAATTATTAATAATGGTATGTACTATTGACTGTAACAATTGCGGTTTTAAATAACATTTGTGTTTTTGAAAAAATTCGGTTTTATACAAGTTTAAACATATTGTGCTTGATTCGTGGAGTGTGACTTTTTCTGTCCGATTTTGTCGGACATGATATATATATATATACATATCTGATGAAAGGGGTTATTTCATTTGCTCCTATTTACTGGCTGCTGCTTGATAAAATTACTATTTTTAGACGTCATCAAAGTCAAAACTGAATAAATATTCAACGCGTGGATTCGGATTCTGCGCACAAAAATATATAACTTTTGTCAGAAACGTTTCTCTCGAATGGACTTCTGGCTAAAACAATGTCCTTCCGGTCTGTTTAATCCACTTCTGGTCGAAACCGGGAGACGGTAATACGACAAAGGATACACTCTAAAAAAAATGTTTAAAAATTCGAACATAAATCGAGTATATTTTTGTTTGTTTAAAATTTTTTTTTTTGTAAATTTACACGATGAATATGTATTTTTCTCGTTTACACATTTTCGTGTGTAAAAATCTTTTTTGTTAGCGGCTTTACACAATTCTACGGGTGAAACGGCAGATGTGTATTCTGTAGCTTCTACACACTTTCGTAGTAAATTTCGCACACCATAGCGGCGATATTACACTCTAAAAAGTCTGAATTTTAAAAAAACTATTCGTTGAATAATCGAGTATGTAATTTCGCGAATAATAAGGTAGTAAATCTGTAACCTACCTTTTTGCTTGGAAATTTACACAATTTTTTTTAGAGTGTAGAGCATCCACGACTTAATAGTTGTGGTTTTTCCGTTTTCCAATAAAAACATGTTCCTCCATTTTAGAAGGAGTGGACGGGTGGTCTGAGACACCCGGTATATGGGCGTGGATGTGGTTATGGGCCGATTTCGCTGATTTTCAAATCAACGTCTTTTAAGATTCTCTGAAGCATTTGTACAATATGTTAAGCGCCTGGTTGATTCTTGGCAACAGAAAGTGCTCATTTCAGCCATAAAAATACAACGCAAATTCTTAGCCACTTGAAACTTGCACTTTATTGAGCTAGAATTGAATATATAGAAGTGTATACTCAGAATTTTTCTAAATATTCTTAATAAAAAATTGTTTTGAATTTTTGAAATTTGGACTTATATGGTTTTTGTTGGATAATGAGCTATACTTTTATAAAAAAAGAATAGTAAACAATTAACAAAGAAACGAAAAATAGTCAAAACTGTCAAAATGACGTGTACCTATTATTTTTCACATGACTGTATGTATGTATGTAGGTAATGTATAGCAACATAATTATTTCAATATATTTCGGCAAAGGTTTCTTCACTTTGCCTGTAATAGTTTTTTTTTTAAATTTAGGTTAGTTGTTTTTCGCTAATTTTACTTTTAAATTTTATAGTCATTTATTATTTTCTTACACTTTGTCTCCCTCTGTGTCTTTGCAGGTCTCTGGCGACAATCCAGTTTTTGTTGAAAGCGTTAAACCAGGTGGAGCGGCACAAATTGCTGGCTTAGTTGCCGGCGATATGATCTTAAAGGTATGTTTGTTAGTTGCGAATTTTCGTTGTTGTTGTTATAATTGTATATGTGGTTGTTATTATTTTTGTAGACAACAATGCAAAAGCAAAGAAAAGACAGGCCGCCGCGAAGATTATTATTATAATTGTTGCATATTGTGTTGTTATTGTTCTTGTTTTTTTTATTGTTTTCCGGCGTGCAACGAAGAATTTTGCAAAAATCAAAAAAAAAAAATTATTTTCCGCCCCACCCTGTCCGAGTTCTTTGCCTTTTCATGTTGAACTGATAATGGTGTTTCTTTTGCTCTTGTTGTTATTGTTTGCGTTGTTTTTGGCGTTGTTGCTGTTCTTGCCTTTTCTGTCAAGTCATACTTGATGGTTAATAATAATGCGCAAAGCGTTTCTATACACACACACATACACACATAGATCGCGGTTTTATTGTTGTTTATATGCTTTTATTTATTATTTGTTACTTTTATTTTTCGCTTTTGAATTTTATTTATATGTATTTTTTTGTTGTTTGTTGTTTTTTTGCCAACTGTGCCATTCACCGTTTTCTCTGTTGTTATTTCGCTTTTTTAGGTCAATGGACAAGAAGTGCGTATGGAGAAGCATCCAACTGTGGTTGGCTTAATAAAAGGTATGTTGCTACTACTTTTGTTGTTGTTGTCTTTTTCGTTTGTTGTACTCAATCTTGACTGTTGACTGTTGACTGCAGACTGTTGTTGTTGCTGCTCTTGCTGTTGCCGTTGCCGTTGCCTTTGCCACTGCTGTGTGGCGCGGTGGGTGTGGCAATGCAGCGCAATTCAAGCAAGCAAATCAAGTCAAGTCGTGTCGAGTCGCTCGAGTACTTTTATTTGTTTGTACGTGTGTATGTACATACATATGTTTGTATGTCCACCACAAAGTGGTTTAAACGGGTATTGTACTCTGGTGGCATTCAGTAATTGCAACAGTGTGAAGTGCCGTTTACGAGTAAGCCAAAAGATTTCCACATCATGAAGTTCAATGTGTTGGTTGAAGTTCGATTGCCGCTATTTTATGGTTGTTATAATGAAAATGATTGATCTAGAAATAAATTTGGTGACTTTGTGCTAAAAAATTATAATTGCCTTAATTGCATTCATGTATTCTGCTTTCTGCGAGAATACAATGCTATGAATGAGCTGTTCTGTATTAGAGGCAAGCCTTAATATTCTATTAGAAATGTGCCAAATGAGACACTGCTGCAGAATAATCAATATATTCGCCAAACCAAGGGCCAAATATAGTAAAATTGCGTTCTTAATTTTTCTCTATGACGTCAGGATTTTTAAAAAGAACTTTGAAATTTGAAAGATATGAGTAATTAAAAAAAAATGATTTAAAAATTTCAGTGCAATATACTTAAGAAACCAGTATGGGTATCAAATGAAATAGAAGATTCTGTAGACATTTTTTGGTCCGTAATGGACGGGTAAGTATTGAAAATACTCTTTTATAATTTCATCCTTGAATATCCTTGAAATTTTTCAATTCTTATTTTTGAAAAAATTATATGTTAAGGACTAACTTTATTAGCTTAAAAAATAAAATAGATTAAAGGGGCATTTTCAATTCCTATTCGTCCTTGTGAACCCAAAAAAATTATTTCATTTGGTACCCATACTTTTGTTTTACATTGCACTGATTTTTTTTTAAATAAATTTTGGAATTAACCATATCGAGCCCTAACCGCCAAACTAACGTAAGCGACATTTTTTTTTAATTTTCTTTTCGATGCAGAAATATTCCTAGACCATTTAGATGCATTTCTGCATCAAAAAGAAAATTTTGAAAAAAATGTCGCTTACGTTATTTGGCGGTTAGGGCTCGATAAAGTCTTTTTAAAAAAAATCATGACGTTAGAGAAATGCCCATTTATACATATGCGGTTAATTATGTGTAATATGAAGAGACTTTTATAAAAAATATAAATTTTGGATAAACAAAAGGAATATAGACAAAACTGGTCGAATTAAGAGGCTTCTTTTATTTCTGCTACTCGAATTATGAACTTCTTTCAACCAGAAAATAAAGTTTTTAACTTATTTTTTTTTGCATCGAGCTTTTTTCGACATACTTTAAATTACTTTATCAGATATGTACACACTAAAATATTATTAAATGCATATAAATTTAACTACTGTCTGTCGTTTTGAAATAATTTTCACTTTAAATAAAAAAGTACGTTCCAAACCCATTTACTTATTATTTATTATATGGTAGGAGAGCTTCACCTTTAACACCAAAAAATTTCGTCTCGACATAAGTGGTTAGATAAAACTGACACACACCAAACTTTGTTTCTTTCATATGTACTTATACAAAAATAGTTTTTGCCGAGCTTGCATCTTGTGAGCAAAATTTGGTTCAGTTTACGCCTTTCACAAAAATATTTTGAGCTAATTCAACGTCATTCGTAAGCTAGACCGCCTCCTAAATAGCTTTTTTTAACAAGAATATAATTTGATTACATTAAATATGTCAAATAAAGAAGTTTGCATGCATTCTTTTAAAATTCTGCAAACAATTTTCAAACAATTAAATTTTTTAAGTAAACATATTACATAATGGGATTTAATTTTGAATTGAGTGTCTTTTGAAAATCTGAATAATGAGCTATTTCTTAGGCAAATTTCTATTTCTTGGTATCAATTTTTAAAAGTTTAACTCATTCATACCCTAAAAATTTTATACATACTTATCTTGTCACCAAAATGTCGTGAGCTAATTTTTTAAAGGTATGTATAGTTAAATCTTCACCATGATGCCTCAGAAATGGAAATGGCGGAGTTATTTAATACATATCTCATAAAAAATATATAAAATACCGGAGATTACACTAAAAGTTTCATTATTTTGATCTTTTTTTGCTCCGAAGTGTGACCACAGTAATGCACTCTCCAGCTGGATAATTTGCGTGGTCTTATAGCAGCACCAGTTTAATTTTGCTCTGCTTAATGCAAATAATATGGGAAATAAGTTTAGCAGCACATTCATCGCTTCTGTGGGTGTTGTGGAGAGAACCACGCTATAATTTATACTAGTTTAAGACTTGA